AACCTTTAAAGAAGAGTTAAAACCTATTCTTTTTAAGGGCGCCTGGGTGGCTTAGTCGGTTAAGCGTCCGACTTTCGCTTAGGTCATGATCTCGCGTTGTGGGTTCGAGCCCCGCATCGGGCTCTGTGCTGACTGCCAGCTCAGAGCCTGGAGCCTGTTTCAGTCTGTGACTCCCTCTCTCTCTGACCCTCCCCTGCTCACGCTGTCTCTCTCTCTCCTAGAAATAAATAAAACATTAAAAAAAAATTTAAAAAAAAACCTATTCTCTTTAAGCTGTTCCAAAAAATAGAAATGGAAGGAAAATTTCCAAACTCTTCCCATGAAATGACCATTACCTTGATTCCAAAACCAGACAAATACCCCACTAAAAAGGGGAACTATAGACAAATTTCCCTGATGAACATGGATGCAAAAATCCTCAAGATATTAGCCAACCAGATCCAATAATACATTAAAAATATTATTCACCACAACCAAGTGAGATTTATACCTGGGATGCAGGGCTGGTTCAATATCCACAAAACAATCAATGTGATTCATCACATCAAAAAAATAAAGGACAAGAACCACAAGATTCTCTCAATAGATGCAGAGAAAGCACTTGAGAAAATACAGCATCCTTTCTTGATAAAAACCCTCAAAAAAGTAGGGATAGAAGGATTATACCTTGAGATCATAAAAGCCATGTATGAAAGACCCAATGCTAATACCACCCTCAATGGGGAAGAAACTGAGAGCTCCCCGCTAAGGTCACGAACAAGACAGGGATGTCCACTCTCACCACTTTTATTCAACATAGTATTGGAAATCTTAGCCTCAGCAATCAGACAACACAAAGAAATAAAAGGCATCCAAATCAGCCAGGAGGAGGTCAAACTTCCACTCTTCACTGATGACATGATACTCTATATGGAAAACCCAAAAGATTCCACCAAAAGAATGCTAGAACTGATACATGAATTCAGCAAAGTTGCAGGATAAAAAAATCAATGCACAGAAGTCAGTTGCATTCCTATACACCAATAATGAAGCAACAGAAAAAGAAATCAAGGAATCGATCCCATTTACAATTCAACGAAAAACCATAAAATATCCAGGAATAAATCTAACCACAGAGGTGAAAAATCTATATACTGAAAACTATAGAAAGGTTATGAAAGAAATTGAAGAAGGCACAAAAAAATGGAAACATATTCCATGCTCCTGGATAGGAAGAACAAATATTGTTAAAATGTCAATAGTACTCAAAGCAATCTACATATTCAATGCAATCTCTATCAAATTAACACCAGCATTCTTCACAGAGCTAGAACAAACAATCCTAAAACTTGTATGGAACCAGAAAAGACCCCGAATAGCCAAAGCAATTCTGAAAAAGAAAACCAGAGCTGGAGGCATTACGATACTGGACTTTAAGCTGTATTACAAAGCTGTAATCATCAAGACAGTGTGGTACCGGCACAAAAACAGACACTCAGATCAATGGAACAGAATAGAGAACCAGAAATGGACCAACAAACATATGACCAACTAATCTTTGACAAAGCAGGAAAGAATATCCAATAAAGATAGTCTCTTCAGCAAGTGGTGCTGGGAAAACTGGACAGCGACCTGCAGAAAAATGAACCTAGACCACTTTCTTACCCCATACACAAAAATAAACTCAAAATGGATGAAAGACCTAAATGTAAGACAGGAAGCCATCAAAATCCTTGAGGAGAAAGCAGGCAAATACCTCTTTGACCTTGGCCGCAGCAACTTCTTACTCAACACGTCTCCAGAGGCAAGAGAAACAGAAGCAAAAATGAACTATTGGGACCTCATCAAAATAAAAAGCTTGACAGGGAAGGCAACAATCAGCAAAACTAAAAGGCAATCGATGAAATGGGAGAAGGTATTTGCAAAGGACATATCAGATAAAGGGTTAGTATCCAAAATCTATAAAGAACTTTTATACTCAACACCCAAAAAACAAATGGGTGAATAAACATAAATAGACACTCTCCAAAGAAGACATCCAGATGGCCAACAGACACATGAAAAAAATGCTCAACGTCACTCATCATCGGGGAAATACAAATCAAAGCCACAATGAGGTACTACCTCACATCTTTCAGAATGGATAACAACTCAGGCAACAACAGATGCTGGCAAGGATGTGGAGAAAGAGGATCTCTTTTGCACTGCTGGTGGGAATGCAAACTGGTACGGCCACTTTTGGTGCAGCCAAAAACAGTATGGAGGTTCTTCAAAAAACTAAAAATAGAACTACCCTATGACCCAGCAATTGCACTACTAGGTATTTTTCCAAGGGATACAGGTGTGCTATTTTGAAGGGGCACATGCACCCCAATGTTTATAGCAGCACTATTGAGAATAGCCAAAGTATGGAAAGAGCCCAAATATCCATCAATGAATGAATGGATAAAGAAGTTGTGGTGTGTGTGTGTGTGTGTGTGTGTGTGTGAGTGTGTGTGAGTGTGTGTGTGTACACAATGGAGTATTGCTTGGCAATCGAAAAGAATGAAATCTTCCCGTCTGCAACTATGTGGATGGAACTAGAGGGTATTATGCTAAATGAAATTAGTCAGAGAAAGACAGATATCATATGACTTCACTTATATGAGGACTTTAAGATACAAAATGTAAGGGAAGGGAACAAAAATAATATAAAAACAGGGAGGTGGACAAAACATAAGAGACTCTTAAATATGGAGAACAAACAGATAGTTACTGGAGGGGTTGTGGGAGGGGGAAGGGCTAAATTGGTAAGGGGTATTAAGGAATGTACTCCTGAATTCATTGTTGCACTATATGCTGATTAACTTGGATGTAAATTTAAAAAAATAAATAAATAAATAATGTGTGCTTTCAGGGGTGCCTGGGTGGCACAGTTGGTTAAGCTTCCAACTCTTGATTTCGGCTCACATCATGATCTCACAGTTTGTGAGTTCAAGCCCTGCATTGGGCTCTGTACCAAAAGTGCAGGATTCTCTCCCTCTCTCTCTGCCCTCCTCCGCTTGCATTCTCTCTCTCTCTCTCTCTCTCTCTCAAAATAAATAAACTTAAGAAAACATATGTGCTTAAAGTTCACAGAATTTTACATCAGTGACCTCTGATACTTTTCCAAATCTGAGAAACTGGAATCTCAACATCAATCGCTCAATTTCATTAAGCAGCAATACTCACTACTTGAATCATTTTGAACAAGTTTCTTAATTTTTGGAGCTTCTGCCTAATCTATTTTATGCCATATCTCAGTTCAAGAACTGACCATGACACTGTGGTCCCTAATATGACAAATCTAAATGCCCTTATTCATTCACTCAATAAATATTTATTGAAACTTTACTGTCTCTGAGGATGCAGCAGTGAATATAACCAAAGGCAAGTTCCCCACTATCACATAGTTATATTCTGGGGCAAACATCTCTTGCTTAGGTCCCACCAACAGCCATTTCCTCTTGCCTTATAAGGTCACCCAGTCTCATCAGGGCTTCTCCAGTTATACTGTGAAGGACTTCTTACTGTTTCCAGTTTCCCCATGCCTGACTGTTCTTTTGTCTTTTCTACCCGGAACACCCTTATATTTTCTTATCAACAGTTACTATTTAGCTTTTGCTCTAAGTTCACACTTAAAAGTTACATCCTTAAGGAAATCATACTGGACCTAACAATTATTTGTTTACTCTGTTTATTTCACAGTTTATTTAGACAGTACATATGGTTTTCATTTATACATATCTTTTTAAAAATTTTTTTAATGTTTTATTTATTTCTGAGAGAGAGAGAGGCAGCATGAACAGGGGAGGGTCAGAGAGAGAGGGAGACACAGAATCAGAAGCAGGCTCCAGGCTCTGATCTAGCTGTCAGCATAGAGCCTGATGTGGGGCTCGAACCCATGAACCGTGAGATCATGACCTGAGCTCAAGCTGGACGCTTAACCAACTGAGCCACCCTGTGCCCCCATTTATATATATCTCTTGATGGCTCTTGCAAATACTTCTTATCTTCCAAAGTTGATTATAAATTTATTGAATTAAAACCTGTGTCTTCTTCTTTTTTGTATATGATACGAGACTATTTACTACCCCCTAACATCCATTCTCATCTTCCTCCTTGAAATAATAGACCTCCCTTAAATTCCAAGCACATGGCTCCCATCTAGAGACTAAATTTCCCAACTTTCTTCACAAGTATGAAGGTCATAGAGACTACATTCTGGCCAATGGAATGTCAGCAGAGGTAATACATGCAAGGTCCAGGAAATGCTTGCCCTCTCCTTCTTACTCCTCTTCCTATGGGCTGGAACATGATCTTCGAAGTGACCAGTCATCTTGGACCTTGCCGGTGAGGGCAAACCCCAAGGGAATGTTAAAACGAGAGATCATCTGGGATCCTGGGCTACCTTTTGGAGAAGATGTGTCTTATTCCACTGCATGGCCTATGAGCTCAGATTTTTATCCACTAGAAAAATAAACTTCTATATTGTTTAGGTCACTGCTATCAGTATTTCTAAAACATTCAAGCCAATATTCTAACATAATGCCCCATAATTATGGTACCTGGCAAAATAATATGAATGTAGTGCTAAATAAATACTGATTAAATGAATGAATATATGTATCTGAATTTGATAACTATAATAATTATTCACTAACAAAGTGATTGGGGGGGGGGTGTTTTTTCCTGAATGTTATGTGTTCTTTTTCATTATGTGTTTAAAAGAGAAAGACAGGTTCTGGCATCTTTTTTACTGAGCTGTATTCATTTCATTGGAAATGCTATATACTATCAACATACTCTATCCTTCTGATATCATTGAATAAAACTTTTGGAAGGAATATCTGAAATATGATGTTCTGGCATTAAATTTTGGCCTTAAAAGAGAGAAGTTTTAAACAACTGGGAACCCTTGCAGAAATTTTAGTTTTAAAATTTGTAGGGAACCACAAATTTTAGGAGCGTAGGGAACCACAAAAGCATAGGAGACAACATACCTCCAAATCTCCTGAGATATTGGCACCAGCAAGAATCCCAGTAGCTGCAGGGAAAAAAATGGCAAAGACAGAGAAGAAGCCTTCACCTTTTGTGAAGCTTGGCCCAAAGTTTTCAGCAAATATTGACGCTGCAACACAAGAGAAAATTATCATGTAGGCTTTCTTTACAGAGTATAAGACAGGTTACCTTTAGCTTCTATCGATGTCTCATGTAAATGTTTCCCTGTATTTTAAATGGAATGAACTTGAAGATGCTGGTGTACTCCTGACAAACCTCATGGTCCTATTTACCAAGACTCAAGGTTGTAGATCTCTAGGACACAGCTCTGAAAAAGTTTTGTGCCAAAAGAGACCCAATCCTCCCGACTTTTTTGAATCTAGAAGATTGGAAAGGGGGGAAATGGAGACTATATGACTATACTAGCATATTTGCAAATACACCACACAGTCCATTGCCCTACACACAGACAACTACTTTCTTCCATGCATAAATAATCAACACACAGCTTTTCTATGCTTTTTTTTTTTTTTTTTTAATTCTGGGAGAGCCTCTGGGTAAAACTATCTTATGATTTTTGCTACTTATGTTTACCTTCTCTATTTCCTGCTCCCAGAAATTAGATCTTAAATTCTTACAGCAAATTCTCACATACAAAAGAATAATATAGTGAGGAGCCTTGGTCATAACATAATACTATCCCATGAGGCATCAGCAAATTATTTAAATGAGAAGGAAACAATGCAGAAGAAAAACAGAAAAAGAAAGGAGGAAAAAGGTGAACAAAGGAATCTGGCCTGATGCAAAAACAAGGAAAGAGAGTGAATTGTCAGAAAAAATACAGCAAGAGCTGGAAGGGAAAGGAATAGAAAGGAAAATGATGTTAACATGCAAAGCAAACAAGACAAATTTTACAAAGAAAAACAATCAGGAAGAAAGAGGTGATGTGATACCTAAAGGAAACAAATACTAGTAAATAATGAAGAAAAATATTTTTTTTTAAACCTCAGCAGTGGGTTCTTGAATAAGTTAGAATAGAAAGCTAGGAAGATGTCCATTGGAGGAGTAGAATTTCATGCTGAGTGGAATTCCCTCAGGATGATACACCAACTCCTACAATCTCTTATGCTTAAAAACCTGACAGGGATGCTTTTAGATAATACTAGAGATAAGCAAGTTGCAAAAAAATTTAGAAGGGGGCACCTGGCTGGCTCAGTCCATGGAACATGTGACTCTTAATCTCAGGGTTGTGAGTTTAAGCCCCATGTTGGGTTTAGAGATTACTTGAAAATAAAATCTCATGAAAGGCACCTTGGTGGCTCAGTCTGTTGGGCATCCAACATCAGCTCAGGTCATGATCTCACAGTCTATGAGTTCAGGCCCTGCGTGGGACTCTGTGCTGACACCTCAGTGTCCAGAACCTACTTTGAATTCTATCTCCCTCTCTCTCTGCCCCTCCCCTGCTCATGCTCTGTCTCTCTCTTCCTGTCTCTCAAAAATAAACATTAAAAATTTTTTTAATAAAGTATTTTTTTAAAATTATAGCAGAAAAAGGACAGTTTGACTTTAGTGCTTTCAATGGTTGAGCAAATTATCTGAACTATGTTCTCTTTCCTCGTTTATACAGCTCTACGTCTACAATTTGATAGTGGCAACAATTTATCCTACACTTGAAGGCTTTCAAAACACTTTTGCCTCCACTACCTTATTTACTTCTCAAAAATCCCCTCAGGAAATTACTGTTACCACCAATACGTGGGCAGGGAAATTTGAGACCCAAAGATGCTAGGTGGCTGGGCTAGCTGGCAAGTAGCAGGGTTGAGACTCACTGTGGATCTCCTGAATCCAACCCCAGGCTCTTCCTTGGATTGCACTGGGATTCTAATGGCTGAAGCGGGGGACACCGGAATGGTGATGGAGCCGGGCAGGGGAGAACTACTTACTGCAAAGCAAGTAATTTGTCACACATACCTTGGTAGTTAAAGAAACCTCTGGATTTCTTCTCATTGTTGGATGGAATGACGGTTCCAATAAAGAAGTTTGCAATAGCAATGAGAAGAATGACCAGAAGTATCACTTGAGCCTGGAATGACAAAGTAAAAGGAGGCCAACTTAGATTCATTTAACAACTTTTTACATAATTATAAAAGTAACGTCCACTGAGGAAAGACTGGTTATTCTGATTAACACAATAGGCAATAGTGTATCCTTGTAGGAAACACTACATCTGACCTGGGTGTAGCTGTTACATTTTCAATGGGCACATGTGCTTGGGCACTTGAAGGTGCCATTTCAAAAATATTCCAAGTAGGGGAGACTGGGTGATTCAGTCAGTTAAGGGTCCAACTTCATCTCAGGTCATGATCTCATGGTTTGTGGGTTGGAGCCCCACATCGGGCTCTTTGCTGACAGCTCAGAGCCTGGAGCCTGTTTCAGATTCTGTGTCTCCCTCTCTCTCTGACCCTCCCCTGCTCTCGCTCGCTCTCTCGCTCTCTCCCTCTCAGAAATAAATAAAAAACCATTAAAAATTTTAAAAGATATATTCCAAGGACTAGGTGGGTAACTTAACTGCAGTGTCCTCAGGAATATATATGGAGCCCAAAGTTTTATCACTGATAGAGTTTGTTTCTTTTCTAGACAGAATGCCTATGGATTCTTTCTTCCCTTTCCCAGTGCTAAATGCAACAGGAGTGTGAGAACATAATGATTCATGGAGTTCCGTGATGCCTCATGCATCTGATGTTGGGTCACGTTGTCCAATCAAAGCGTCTGTCTTTATCCTCCCCCTCCCCCTTCTGACATTTCAAGAGTCTTTCGCTTGGCATTCCCATATGCTGTTTCCTCTGCAGGAACTTTTTGTATAACTACTCCCTTCTTCTCATCCGTTAAGTCTTAGTTACCCCTTCAGATAGGACTTTCTTGACCACTGAATCTAAATAATAACAAGTAACATTTGCTGAGGGCGTACAATACAGAGACAGATTTAATTTTACCCGTATTCTTTCAGATAGATAATACCACCAATAACTGTATGAACAGGTAATCTTATTATCATCATTTTAAAGATAAAGAAACTGAGGCATAGAGAAGTTAGACAACTTTCTAAAGGTCACACAGATGTAAACCAAATTCAAATCCAGGTGCTCTGACAACAGAGCTAGAGCTTTAAATCTACCCTCTACTGCTGTGAAACTACATTGCCTCCCTCAGGGAATAAAATCATTGTAAGCAGATTCCCCTTATTTTCTATCTCAGTGCCCTGTTTAGTTCCTTTATAGCACTTTCACAACTTACCTGTCTATATTTACTCACTTATCTACTTGATCATTACTTCTATCCCCACAGACCGTATGCTCAGCTAGGGCCAGGACTGTGCCTGTTTCAGTCACAGCAGAACAACCCAGCCTAGCACAACGCCCAGCACTAATAAGCCCAGCACAAAATAGGCACTTAATTTTTGTTTGATGTGTGAATGCATAATCTGCAAATAAATGCCATATGGGAATGTTTCCCCTTGCCTTATGTAGGTGGGCAAGTTTGGCCACCTTTCTGTCTCTGGTAATCTCCTGAGGTCTAAGTACTGCATTTCCAGGCACTTACGACCGGTTGCAATTATACCAGTCACTGTAGAGAATTATAAATCAGGTAAAATACATGTTCGTGTCATTCAGAAATTTACTAATTGTATTACTACTAGCTAAATACAGATATTCTCCAGTTCCAGGGCCTATGATGCCCTCAAATGTGCTCTTGTACTACTGTGTCTCTGAGAACGAGAGTTTCTGCCTCTATTACCCTCTCCCATCCCACCTGCCATTTCCTTTGGGCTTCAGCACCACAGTCAGCTTGAAATACCAGCTGGGATACCAGGGGTGTGACTAGAAGACACAGGTTTCCAGCATGTACCATTACTATGACCACAAGGGGTCTGTGTGTGAAAATGGCAGCATATTAGTGTCTATGCCACATGATGACAGCATCAAGAAGGACAAAGTGCAGGCCCAATCATGTGATACATGAGCTGTGAGTTGTGACGGCCTGGACCTCGTGCTCCGAGGACATGGTGCTCTTTCCAGTGCTAACCCGCAGCTTTGGTCATAGCAAGTACTAATAGCAATTCTTTTTGAATATGGGGTTTGTTCTATTCCTGCAATTTGGTCAAGACCTGAGCAGCAGTGGTTGATAACACCATTTTGAGAAAATCACCTTTGCTTCCCACTCCATTCCAGCTACTGAAATTCCTAAAAGAATCACCACTGTGATGGAGCCTATTATCCGGATGTCATTGGTTGGATCCACCATCATTGAATTGCTCTCCTGGAACAACAACAAAAATCACTAAAATGGTTAGAGAAGGAGCCTTTTTGGCCTGTATGTCTTATTATAGAAGAGCTACCGTGCACTCATGTCTGGAGCCATATAGGATAATAGAAAAATGAAGTGTTCCTAAATCTGAGATTAGCATTATTTTGTCCTATAATTAAGAGGCCACTGGTAGCCAAGTTTGGAAATTCTAGATGCTCATTCTAGTCACAGCTTTTAAAGCTATTGCAGCACTAAGATAAGTATGTGCACATATGAATATAATGTTTTCTTTCAGAAGAATGACTAGTTATTTTTGTGTATCGGGGGAATCTCAGAGAAATAAAAATGAGTGGTTTCCAACGTGAATATTGGAACATAGTTTCATTCAATCAACTAACAAACTACAGAAACCGGATAATGCATGTCTTGAAGATTACATACCTTATGAACTATATAATTCACTCATTTATTCATTTAATTTTCAAATAAAAGTCCTGTTAGTAACTGAATTCAGTGAATGCTATCACTTCCATAAAAAGAGGACTAGAAGTAAGTTCACATACCAGCTAATTAACATGCTCATGTACATACCATCTAGATGGAGCACCTAAACTAGGAAATGCTTAGTTTTCTGCAGTGAGTTGTTCAAATGTTTGAACTTTCTTTTCCTTTTGGAAATCTATAACCATAATAGTAATATTGCTGCTGATAAATGCTCTTCATTTATCTTTTGTTTCATATTTTACACAGTATTTCATGTACATTATTTCATTTGGTCTGTACTGCGTTTCTCTGAAATACATAGAACAGTATTATTAGCCCGTGTGACAGATTTGAGAAACTGGGTTCAGATCAGAGAGGGACTGGCCAATAAATCTGAGAGCCGGGATTCCAAGCCAGTTCTGATGTCAAGCCTAGAGCTCCTTCTTCTATATCTAACTTCCACATCCTACAGCATAAATCTATTTCCTCTCATCTTGCCATAACGATATCCCCTAGTGCTCTGAAAAGGCAAATTGAACCGAATTATCTTACTTGGCTGAAGAGAAGAAAAACTTTTAATTACCTTAAGAAGATCTACCACTGTTTCAGCAAATCCCACCACATACATAGCAACAGCCACTGCATTGGCAAAAGCAAAGATCAAGCCTATAGACCCACCGAACTCGGGCCCTAAGCTTCTGGAAATAAGATAGTAGGCCCCACCTAAAACAAAAAATGAACATGCTTTACTTTGAGGAACTGATAAGGAATTTAATTTATATGACCAAATAATTTTGAATAGTTTTTATTCTAATGCAAATATTGCAACTTCCTAATAATTCTAAGAATCTTGTATCACTTTGATGAATAATGTAGCCTTTTCTTGTACTCTGAGAACTGTAATAGAATGTAGTAGAACTATCCTTACTAGGTAAATTCTGATTTATTAAAATCTAATTATACACAAATGTTACAAATAAGAATACAGCAAACTTTACCAAAATAAAATGCTTTGACTTTTAAAAAAAAATTCACTGGTGGGTTCAAATCAATAATGTAATCAACTTAAAGTTTTATATTTGGAATTTCCAGGAACAGGCAGCCCTAGGCAGAAAATGATGTAGGAGAAGTTTATCATTGTTATTCTAACTTCCTTTCTGGTATAATTTTCTGGCATATATTTGTTGCATAAAAAAAAAAAGTGTATAGGGCTATGTATTATCTATAAATCAGAATTAGTTCTCTATGCTTGTAGCTCAAGAGGCATGGTTATTGCCAAATACCCATATGTATATGGGGTGGCATATGGGAAGAAAGATAGCGAGGGCCTGGAATAATTGCTTCTCCTTTGGACCTTGAATAAGGTAGTTCTATATATGGCCGTGTACCTGTGTGTACATGGAAGCCTGAGCTGGACTATTTAACTTCTAGAGGGTACTGAGAGCAGGTCAAAAAGACGAGATGTGGAGAGGCCTAGATAGCTAGAGGTTATCACATATCATAGTCAATTAATGGCTTACTACAGGGAGCTAGTCTTAAAGGTAGGCAGAATTGGGAGGGGAATGGCACTGAAGAAACATACCTCAAAACAAAACAAAACAAAACAAAACTATCTTTTACAGGAGAGGAATTTCCTCCACTGTAGTAACTCCTTGGGGTTAAAGGGTCAAAGCACCCTTTAGAAATATAACCAATTATCTGGGTGGAGCAAATCGCCATTATTTCCTTTGTCCAGATTACATTAGATAAATTAGCCGGCCAGTCACTTAGTCTTGGTCAAAGTGAGAGACGAGCAGGGGAAGCTGTGAGAGCAGGTGTATTTGTGGGAGGGAAGGAGGGGTTCCTTTGAAGGCCCTGGGAAGGAACACCTGGATATAAAGTACCCATGCTGAGGTCCTGGAGCCAAACAGAATGAAAGGGGGAAGGCAGGAATTAGAACAGCAATGATAAACCTCACCTTCTTCCATTTTCTGTCTCAGCCTGCATGTTCCTGAATGATTTAAAAGTAACTTTTTGTTATGTTTGTTAGTTTCTATCTTCTTTTTAATGATATCCTCAGGCCTGTTGGCCCCTGGGAGTGTAGTATCGGGGTGAAGTCCAAGGGCTAAGGGGGAAGTGCCAGCCGGGGTACTGACTGCGCCTGGCAGCGAGCCAGCAGGGCTCGTCTAAGGCACAAATCAACCATGAATTTTACTGTAATTATCTCTGCCTTCTTTCTAGACACCTGTCACTCTCTGTAAACATGTTTAACAGGAAACGGGTCAAAGAAAACCTTCTAGAGATCTCTTAATTTCAGCTGAGAGAATTTTGCCTTGATGTTCAAATCTGGGTTAGTTCGTTTTGTTTTCAAGCTTTGGGGACTAATTATTTAGATGCTCGTTTTATTTACTTCCAGCATTAAACTGACTCTGGACATTACTGTGTAACCGATGCCTGGCGTCATAAGTAAATGAATTGGCTTACCTCCTCTTACTACTCCATTTGTGCAAATGGCAGACATAGAAATACCTGTGAGTGACGTCACCACCACACTCAGGCCAATGATGATGACTCCAAGACCTGCAAAATCCCCCAAGAAACGTGTTTGGCTCCAGTACTTTCGGAGGCTGCAGTCTGAACCTTGGCACAGAAGGGACAGTCTCCCCACGAAAAACCTGAAATGTTCTAAAAGACCCCATTCCATGAAGGTCTAGGAAGCACCTGAAATGTACTAAACTTTAAATTGAAGCCACGTCCAGGAATCATTTCCCGAGAGACACCGGCCAGAGGTATGCAGCCTAGCCTGAAAGAGAAAACCTTCACCCACAGAATTCTGAGCATCTGGAAACCATGAGCTGCAATGTACCAGAGAGATCTGTTAGAGACAATCCCATCACTGAGCAGCATGGACGAGGACTGCACTCACAGTACCTTATGTTTCCTTCTGCATCCAGCTCACTTAGATAGTCCACCAGGCATCAGGGGCATTGGGCTACTTGCTTGTTCCAGTCGAAAAGGAGTATATAAAAATTTTGCCTACCCGTAGCAAGTGATGAGGGCATTAGATATCTTAGAAATGTTACCTCCACGAACAAACCCGTTAGTTGCTATTGCAGAAGTTGACAACCCAGTAATAGAAGTTACCATGGTGGAAAGAAGAATTATGAGAACTCCAAGACCTGTTAGCAACGAAAGATAGAAGATATTACATTTTACTTTCCTGACTTGGATTCCCTGTTGCTGCAAACTATACACTGCCTTGAATTTAAGTTTTCACGTCCACGCCTGGGCCCCAGTGGAGTTCCTTTGTGCTCAGGAGAACCTGGTTGGCCTGGCATAAAGATCAAGTCGGAGGCCCGCTCATTACGATGAAGGATGGTTTCCAAAAGTAAACACAATCTAAAATGCGGCCCTGGAAAGGAAAAGTTGACTTCTGCTGGTGTCCTGGGAGAGAAACTACCCTGGCTGTGAAAAGAGAAAACATAACATTTGACCTTCTCTCTTCCTTGAGAGGAACCTGAATGAGAAAGTTGGGGGTTTGACAAAGGTTAAATCCTTCCTCATTTTTCTCGCATCTCTCTTGCCTGGAGGAGAAAAAAAAAAAAGAAGCCAACATGGATTACCTTTGAAAACACTCCAAAAAGGTCAATGGTGAACTATCTGAGCCTGAGTTGCGTTTACCTTACAAATGATCGTGCGGGTCACAAGTTTAATTACCTCCTCTGACATATCCATTTGTGGCAATAGCAGAGGTGGATAAACCAGTGATACCAGTCACTGTCACGGCTAAGCCGATGATAATCACACCAAGACCTCAGTTGAGAGAGGAAAAATAAAGGCAATTAAACAGTGCAACAATCCATTAGATCGTTTACATAAAAGCCAGCAAATCTAGGGTAATCAACAAAGGACCGCATCTGAATTAACAAGTTGGCCTGGAAATCACCAGAGCAAATGCTTAGCTTGGAAGTTTTCTGCCTGTAGTAGAAACAGAGCCTAGGAACCGAAGAACTAAGATGTGCAGTGAGAATTGCCCACGAATGAACAACAATGGCTGGCCAAAATTTAGTGTGAAGCCCACTTTTTGTGCAGTTCTAGACACCTATAAACATAATAATTGGTCAGTATGATTCCAAGCTGCCTTTAAAACTGGAGAGTAAATATTCACCCTTCCAGATAACTATCTTTTTATGTACGTTTGGTTGTGTAGGAGTGGAAAACTACAGGCAATGTAACAAATTGTTTATCTGGCAGATAAGTAAAGTGGAAAGAGTCAAATTGAAGTACATTCACTTATTGGCTTTGTGACCTCTGGTAAGTTACTTATTTTCTGAGCCAAAAATGGTTGATGAGAGTCAAAAGAATACATGTGCAAAGTGGCTAGCATAGCACATAGAACACAGTACACAATCAGTAGCACTACTTTTTGATTGTGTCCACCATAGTTATAATAGCTGTTGCTTACTGAAAGCCCACTATATATTCAACCATGGGTCAAGTAGCATGAGAAATGCAAGGAACAAATAAAATGAAATGAAAAATGCTGCCCTGAAGGATCTTATGGTGCAGAAGGTCAATGATTATAAGAGGGAGAGAGTGATAAACCGGAATCCAGAGAAAGGCAAGGATGCTTTCAGCTTCAGGAAGCACACAGTCAAGAGGATATTGAAGGGTAGCAGAATATGCCATCCCCAAATGTACCACTTTCCCATAAAGAATATTTTGAGCTAAAGGTGATAGGAAAAAAAGTAGCTACCTCCCCCTATTTGCCTGAAACCAAGACATAAATTTCTAAAGGTGTCTCTACTTTCTTCTAGACAAAGAAGGACAGAAGCTAATCATCACAGATAATTTTAGACCCTTAACAACTGGAGTAGCACCAGAAAACCCTACATAACATCCTTGACTTAATTTCCATTAGTTCCCTCGTGTATCTGTCTTCCCAGTATGCCACCCTAGAAACTCAGTCCTTTTCCTTTGTCTTGTCCCTTCTCTAAGAATATATTGTCCTTCTGTTAAGATGCTGTGTAAGCCAGGGGCGCTCGGGTGGCTCAGTCGGTTGAGCATTCAACTTCAGTTCAGGTCTTGATCTCACAGTTTGTGAGTTTGAACTCCTCGTCAGGCTCTGTGCTGACAGCTCAGGGCCTGGAGCCTGCTTCTGATTCTGTGTTTCCCTCTCTCGATGCCCCTCCCCCACTCACGCTCTGTCTCTTTCTCTCAAAAATAAATAAACATTAAAAAAGTTTTTTTTTTTTTTTAAAGATGCTACGTAGGCCCAAGTTCTAACTACTCCGTTGAGTTACTCATTGCTGAGTCTTCTCACATGGACAGATGATGCACGTGTTAATAAATTTCTGATTGTTTTCCTCTTGCCACTGTTAAGAAAGAAGTTTAGGGTCACAGGCACCGAAATCACCCTGGCTCTAGCGAGAATGCTCTTGCCGACATACGCTCCCCTACATAAAACGGACGCTTCATAATTGCTATTGGCAAGTGCTCTTGTTCCAGGGATAATTAGAACAGTAGTCATCTGAGAGAGGCTGTGATCTCTCTGGCCATGACCTGGGGAAAGCGGAAGTGGAAGGAAATGAAGGACAGAAAATGAAGACAGAAATGGAAACAAGGTATTGGAGGTTGCCTTTCTTGATGCTACCAGCTGTATCCTGGCTCTAAACGAAGTCTCTAGGCTATTTTACAGTTTGAAGTACAGTAGGAGGAGGCTAACTATAGGCATGAGCTACAAACGTGGACCATATTGCTTTAGCCCCTACAGACTCTTAAAGTTTGGAATTGCAAGAAATAGGTGCACTAAATTCTTTGAATCTATTACGGGGTCCTTTGGTACATGTTACCTCTACATCACCATGTGGCCGCAGTTCTTTACACCCCTACAAGTAATTTCTTCTCATCTTCTGCACACCTATTTTGCTTTTGATTTTGTTTTGAAGACATTTGATATCAAATGTTTAGCTCACCCCAGCAACTGTACAAAACTAAATAGTTTGCATTTCAGGACATTAAACCTACTTCGACTATTATTTTCGTACCCTTATTTTCCCTTTGCTTCTATTTTCCCACCAATTCTTATTTATTCTTTTGCACTGTATACATTCCTGTAAACCATTTGAAACCCTGCAACAAAGTTTTCTACATTTAAACGGCAAGATATTTACTTTTCTTTCACAATCAAACGAAAAATCCCAGGGTAAAAGGCAGGTTACAGAACATTCAGTTCGTAGTTTTCTCAAAGTACAATCCCTGAGCCACCTACTTCAGGAAATACCTGAAGTGTTTATTAAAAATGCCCAGACCTACTGAGTTTGAATCTTTTCAAAGTGAATCCCAGGATTCTGTGGTTTTGGAAACTAACTTCCCAGGTAATTCCTATGGGAATTACCTTCAGACCCCACAGTCTGAAGACTATTGCACTCCCTTAGCCTATCTCAAGTTATGTCTGCCTAGACAGCAAGGTTATTTAGCTTTATCTTCAAAGAATTGATTGGGAACCAATTAATTCAGGTCCTTAATTTTCAGATGACAAAATGAAACTCACGGACTATATGTGACTTGCTTCAGGTCATACCTATTTCATTCCCTTATTCCAAATGCCTAACGTTTCATTTATTAGAAACATCTTGCCACAGCCAAAGTCTCCTAGACAGAGAAGAACAATTTTATGGCATTTTTGGCTTTGTCTGCCATTTGCTTTTGGGGAAAAGATAGCCAAAAACTCATGGCCCTATAATGGTTACCCAAGGGCTGTAGCCACTGTCACTCCTGGCTCCAGCTGCTTCCTGGCATTGTTCCCAAGGTCTCCTCTTGAAAGGATCTTCCCCAAACTATCCCAAATCGAGGAGAAACTACTTGTATTTGCTCCTTTTCCTACCCAATAAAGGGAATCCAAATGGGACCCAGAAGGTGACTTAATCAACTCATTTAGCTTTAAGCTCACAACAAAGGCCAGTAAAACTGAGTAAGGGTGGTAATAAGTTTCTATGACTCACTAAAGTCTACTTCCTGAGAACTAAAACAACAACAAACAAACCTCCATTCAAAGGAAAACCCACTAGACACCCATTTAAAGTAAGAGATGACTACTTAAAGGAAAGGTCCTTATTAAAACAATAGTGATGTCTGAAAGTCTAATACACTGTTGAGCAGAAGATAGGATTCTTCATGTCTTACAATTTTGCAGTAAGCATGAAACTGGATTGACTATAAAGAGTAATGTAAGGGGCGCCTGGGTGGCTTAGTCGGTTAAGCGTCCGACTTTCGCTTAGGTCATGATCTCGCGGTTCGTGGGTTCGAGCCCCGCGTCGGGCTCTGTGCTGACTGCCAGCTCAGAGCCTGGAGCCTATTTCAGAGTCTGTGTCTCCCTCTCTCTCTGACCCTCCCCTGCTCACGCTGTCTCTCTCTCTCTCCTAGAAATAAATAAAAAATATTTAAAAAAAAAAAAAAAAAAGAGTAATGTAAGATCTGATTAAGGTTCAGGTTATCGCTGAGCACATGGATGTTAAATAAGTTGCATTAGAAAGAATTACTCTTGCCCTGGGCTATGCTCACACCTCCAAACAAAGTAATGCTGCCTGATGATCTCAATAAGTTACTAAACTGCCCTTAAAAAACTAATTTTGCATGAAACCCTGGAGCAAACACTTGGCAATATTAAGATGCAGATTTTCCATGGAACAGCATCTACTTATTTTGGACCCTGCGGCTATAAGCATTCATTTGATATGCATCATAAAGCTGGCAAGCGGCCCTTCGTCAGGAACCCAGCAGTTGCCAAACATGAAACATGGAAAAACTATGGAAACTGGTTCCAGTGTTTCAATTTACAGCTCAGTCCTTTCTTTTTGCGAGTTAGTCTTCTGGTGATGCTCAGTATGTTTTGAGGAGCGAGGGCAATAAATAATGACCAAGTACCTTTGAATGTGAATTGGGACACATTCTGGAGTAGTATCTAAAAGCACATCCGAACTTCCTTGTTCTTGACGCTAATGATTTATAGGTCTTCTCCAAAAGTAGATTTGTAATGCATTTCCCATACAAAGAGTAGAACGTCTTTAATTTTTATCATATTAAATCAGGAACTCTGATAAAATTCTAATAAATTTTTCACATAAATTTTATCTATATACTCTTGATAAAAAGAGATTTGCCACAGGAAATGATATTTTAAGGAAGATATAATCTTTAAAAATATCAAAGGATCACTCAAAATAATCTCAACACCATACATTTTCCATTAGAAAAATTAGTAGTGGTTATATATGTTATCTCAGTCATTTCATCTATCATTTTTAAGCCTCTACTGGGCATATTTTATTAAATTTTGTTTTCTTACCACTGGTAACTGAAAGTAACACAATTATTTTCTTTGGCAAATGTTCAACAATTCAGCATTTCTATTAGTCAGGTCACATTGTTCCCACTTTTCCCACAAGCTGTTTTTGTTGGGGGAAGTTTTGCCAATGAGCATAAGGGGGATGCACAGACGTCAGTATGTCCCTAACTATGAATAGTACTATTTAAAATATGTGTCTCTCTAGCTCTGTACACCTAAAACTCTAAGAACAGATAGAAATATTTACTTGAGCATTTATCTGGTTGGTAAGCTGGAAAATTCCAGTCTCCCAGAAGTTAACGCTACACCTTTCCTCTCTGACAAACATGGTCAAAGAGGCAAAGTCAAAGAGCTTGAGTGCAGATTATTTCTGTGACCTCCATCTCACATTCAGCATTAATGGTGAAAACAAGTTGCTTATTGAATTTATAATTGGCATCGAAAATGATACATGGGGCATGGGGAAACGTGCTTACCAATTCCAGCTTCTCCAACAATCCAGGAGAGGCGAATGAAGAGCATGACACCCCAGATATTCAGCATGCATCTTACCTGTGGGTTGAAGGAGCATGGAAAGGGGTGTGAGAAGTGACAGTGGTGCAAAGCCCAGCCATCTTTGGAACTCTGGCGTCCAGGCTTTGCTCACACTTAGTCCACCAAGACACAGAAGAAACAGATTTCATTTGGAAACATAGGAGCTTTCTCACCAGCACACCTTTCACCCATCCGAACTTCACAACGCCGGCTTCCTCCTCCTCTTCCTTCTTCTCAGCTTCTTCATCTCCAGGCATCCCATCTCCGTTAGCAACCCTGTCAGCTGAACCCGGTGCCACGGCTACGTTCTGCATTTACACAGGTAGCGAAAACACAATATTGGGTCAACAGAAGGCTCTAGAAAAATTTCAAAGGCAAATCAAAAATAGTTGACGTAAAATTTTAGACACACCAAAAGAAGGACACACATTCTAACATGTGTATAAGGTAAGTAATCTTTGGCCTGGGAAATGATGGGTTCATTTGGTGAGTGATTTCAGGCACAGCAAAACTGTAAAGGAGCCTGGGCAGTTCTCTGGGTAGGAAAACTTCCTTAGGGGGAGCAGGTCAGACTTAAGTATGTTTAGAATACAAAATAAACTAACAACAGAAAAAGAAACAAAGGCAACCTGAAAGTCCATCAGAAGTGAACCAGGGTCTTTGAGACACAGTAGGAGGTTAATATCATTGCTGCAGACTACTAGACTTCGTTCTATTCACCCCCCCAGGCTTCATTTTATTCACCTAAAATAATGATAACAAAACTTCTCTCAACATGTCACGGTATCTTTAAGAAGATTGAATGAAAGAACACCTAAAAGCATTTTCTTTTGTAAATTTATATATTTGGCTTTTAAAAATTAGAGTGAGAGAGAGAGAGAGGGAGAGAGAGAGAGTTCACGAACAGGGGAGAGGGACAGAGAGAGAGAAAGAGGTCTCAAGCAGGCTCCATACTCAGCCAGGAGCTCGACGCAGGGATCCATTCCATTGACCCTGGGATCATGACCTGAGCTGAAATCAAGAGTCAGACACTCATCCGTCACTCAGGCGCCCCTATAAGCATTTTCTTTAAAAACAAGAAGAGAAGGGCTAAAGTTCTAAAAAGATATAAAGGCACTTTTGGCTACAAAGATGCTATTCCTGTAGAGGAAGTTTCTTTCAGATTCGATATGCCTTTGCCTCAGAACTGCTGGAGATATGCTACCCTTGTAGCATTGTACAAAGGGTAAGAAGCTTTTTAACTGACTACTAGAAAGGTAAGCTGAGTACAAATAAGAAGTCAATCGTATGAAAAATGTCAAAACTTATTTAGTATGTTTTTTCTATGTTAGTGTATGTGATCTAATTTTGAAGAATACCTTCCTTGTCATTAGGATAGTCTCTGAATTCAGTGGGGGAAGGAAATAGCTCTGTTTCTCTCAAGTGAAAAACAGCTCTAACTTCTCGTTTAGATATGACCTTGAATAATTTCAGATGCACCCATTTAATTCAGTCTATCTGGCACCTACCTGACTGTAATGGTTAGACTATACCCCACTGAGTTCCCCCAAAGCAACCTTTTCCAGTAAGGGGTTGAAACCATTGGGGAGGTCTCTTACATTCAGCATTTAATTACCATTATTAAAGAACAACTTTATCCATGTAAGTGGTCTAAATTAGTTTAAGGCTAGAATGATGTGTTACCCTATTATTAGCTGACACGTCTCAGACAAGGGCAGTTTTTTCCCCCTCTAAAATAAGACCGGCATGAAATACATATTCAGTGTTTACTATAAGGACTTGATTTGAGGGCAATCAAAGTTTTCGTCCTTGCCATGTTTAAGAGTTATAGCGTCTTTGGGCTTTGGTGTATCATTAGCACACCCACTATAAACTGACTCTAGTTTGGGCTGTTTGCTCCAAGAGACTGTGACTTCTTGTCTCCATGTTCTTCTGCTTCTCCATGTCAATAAGAATTTCATGTCAACTTTGTCCTCCCACAAGATTTTTTTCATGAAACTAGTCGGACCCTTGGGTAACCGATGCAATCAATGTGGTAAGTCATTGTGTATTAACTGGAGGATGTGGGTTACTTCTCCTCGATGCCGACAAAGAGCCCACCATACAGCAGGTCATCAATAAACATTACTGAATCCATAAAGTGGACTTGAAGGCCACCTGATCTCTACCACTTAAGAGAAGATGGCCTAGTTTCTTATCCACTCTTGCCTCCTATTTCTTTTCTCTTCCATCCCTATTGAGTATTCCATTTTTCATTGTTTCCTCTGTGTGACTGACATTAAAGAAGGGAGAGGAAGAGAATGAATCTCGCCAGATCATCTTACTATCTTCCGATAGCATTGTGTGTGTGCGGTAAAATTTAATGACAAAGGAAGCTAAAATTAATCGTTAAAATTTAGTTTTGAATTACCTGAGAAATATCTTAATCTTAAGCACCCTCTGCCCCTACTTGCAAAGATAATTTAAAGCTGACATAAGTTCATATTAAAGTAAAATATGGATAAACAAAGTCCACAGAAATTGAGGCTAAACTGGCAGGGCAGAAACTGGTTATCTATACCGGGTAGAAATGCAAGTCATGTATGTAACCCAAAAATTTCTAGTAGCTCATTTTCAAAAAAAATTTTTTTAATGTTTTTATTTATTTCTAGGAGAGAGAGAGAGAGAGAGCGAGCATGAGCAGGGCAGGGTCAGAGAGAGAGGGAGTGACAGACTCTGAAACAGGCTCCAGGCTCTGAGCTGGCAGTCAGCACAGAGCCCGACGCGGGGCTCGAACCCACGAACCGCGAGATCATGACCGAAGCGAAAGTCAGACGCTTAACCGACTAAGCCACCCAGGCGCCCCTCTAGTAGCTCATTTTTAAAACGTGAAAGGAAATTAGTGAAATAACTTGGATTCAGATCTGAACCCTTAAATTTCAAAAATATACTTAACTTTTGTATAATATATTTCTAATCTTTGCAATGTAACTTATCAAAATATAGTGGCAACCTACTTTGTAGGAGAAGCCTGAATCACGGGATGCTTTAATATGTTTTACTTAATAGATCTATATCAAATATTATCATTTCAACATATAATCAATATAAACATAGTGAGGAGGCATTTTACATTCTTTTTTTTCACACTATGTTTTTGAAATCTGGTGTGCAGTTTACACGGATAGCACAGCTCAGTTTGCACTAGCACTTGAATCGCCACACGTGGCTGGGGCTATCATATTGGAGCACACATGTCTATACGTTGCAGTCAATTACAGATGGATGGAACATCTGAGGTTTTTCTCCAGGCAGTTAAAAATCCTATTTTTTCTCTGAACGGATTCTGCACTCATAAGGCAGCTGCGTGGTTCAAATGTAACTTTAACTTTCCGTAACTAGAAAATCAGTGAGAGTAGAGAATTGAGGAATGTGATAAAATGCCCATGAGTGGGGAAGAGATTATTTGGTTAAGAAATTCATTTATTTTACTTGTTTTGAGAAAAACTTTTAAAATTGACAATATTCTAGTTAATCAAGATCTCATGGCCAGAACAACAGCAGCTACTCATTCAGGGAGAAGGCAATTTCCTTTTCCTCGCTTAATTGGGGATCCCATGAGACAGAGCCCGAGTCACTTGCTTTTTAAAGGCAATCTTGGGAATAAAACCTATGTTTTCTGATCAAACCTGAACTGAGGGTTTGGTCCAGGAAATTGCTTTGCTCCCAGCTGAACTCCAATGGTAACTGTGACCCTTACATCTGGATTAATGAGAATACCAATGACTGTAAAAAAAAAAAAAAAATCTTACAAAATAGGTAAAAGGATGAATAAGATACTTAAAATTTCCCCTTATATGGACATATCTATCTGATGGATGCCCTCCTGGGCACAGTTTAACAGTTCTTCAATTTATCACAAGGACATCATACTTTGAAGCAAAAGGAATATTCTATGAGGGCATGTCAGGGAAATCATCATATATGGAAGTTAGTAGGAAATAATTTTCTAAAGCTATTCAAAAATAGAGTCAATATAGGGCTTTCGACTCTTTCTTACGTGAATATGTTCAACCTGCTAGACCTTCCACGTTTTTAACATATTTATGCCATAGAGAGGAAAAAAAACCCTTTAAATGTATATTTCTTGCTTTGACTATAAAGGCCTGATACTACATTTATAAGTACAGAATCCATTTCCATTGCTTACTCCCTTACAGGAGCTAAAAACTCACTGCACCATACAAACTAGGAGCTTGGAATCTAGTTTCAGCTATGCAATTAATTCAGGGTGTGTCCTCCAGCAAGTGATTCAACCTTTCCTGGATGGTGTCAAGGAGGGTAGATCCAATGAGTTTTCTGAAAATCTTACTTTGAAGTAATTTACTCGAAGGCAAAATCATTTTTCTATGTTTGTCATCTTCCTCTTCTAACATGGCAAAGTAAAACTTGGTTTCACTCTTCGGTAATTGCCTCTTTTGTGAGCCTATACAGCAATTACAAAGTCAACTTATCATCAAAGTACTAAAAAGACTTTGGGTCGAGGGTTGTGGGCACTTGATGGCTGTGAGCTATAACCAGTGGCTGGCTGACTCCTGGCTGGTGCATTTTCTTGGGACCAAATCCTGAAAGACTGCAAGTTTTATGATTGTTGCCTGAAACCAGTTTTTCCCTTCATACCTTGAATTAATTTGTTCATTCACACTCCATTACCATAAATGATGACCCACCACCTTTTGTAAATGCATTTTAAACTGCATAGCTTTAGGGAATGATTATTTATTTACCAAAAGTTTTACCTGTGCACTAAGTACTCAGAGAGGGTAAAATAAAGTGGAGGGGGGGGGAGAGAGAGAGAGAGAGAGAGAGAGAGAGAGAGAGAGAAAGAAAGAAAGAAAGAAAGAAAGAAAGAAAGGCAAGATACTTATTTCCTTCAGTATTGATAAACTAGTAGAGCTTCAATCACATGCAGCTTAAGGGGTAAATTCCTCATGGGTTTTGCTAGATAAAAGATTATTTTATTTAATATAAAATGTGTGATTTTTTCAGACCCCAGAAAAACTACAAATGCATTTCTAGCTATCACCAAAGAAAAAAAAATAAGTATATTTATTCTTTAAATTCTAACTAGGGGGGCACCTGGGTGACTCAGTTAGGTAAGCTTCCGACTTTGGCTCAGATCATGATCTCACCATTTGTGAGTTCAAGCCCTTCATCTAGCTTGCTGCTGTCAGCATAGAGCCCTCTTTAGATCCTCTGTCTCCCTCTCCTTCTGTCTCTTCCTGGCTTGTGAATATCCCTTCTCTCTCTCTTTCTCTCTCTCTCTCTC